ACCAGTAGGTCTCCACACAACAGGGAGCCAGGGTGTTTTTCTTTCAAGTGCAACATTTTCAAGTGCGGTCTCTAGTGTGCATGGAACGAGGAGGCGGCGTAGTGTAAATTAATCACGATTTCGTGATTAGGGCGCACTTGAAACTCGAGAGTTCTCTAGTGGTGTGGAACAAAGCTCTCAGTCTTGGGCGCCCAAATAAGTTACACCAGCTGTGGACTGGGTACAGCCCTGTCTCTTATACACATCTAGATGTGTATAAGAGACAGCCCCTATACCCCCCTATACCCCCTTATACCCCCCTATACCCCTTCCTATACCCCCTTCTCAAACCTTCTGCAATGGCGATCTCCTTCTTCCCTGTCTCTTATACACATCTAGATGTGTATAAGAGACAGCCTATACCCCTTCCTATACCCCCTTCTCAAACCTTCTGCAATGGCGATCTCCTTCTTCCCACCTACACCCCTGACCCTTCTATGTACGGTGCCAGACAGTGTTGCATATACCCCAACCATCGGCGCCCCTTGACTGGTCGGATGCCGACCAGCCGACCGACCAGCCGACCGGTCGGCTGGTCGGCACCTACCGGTCGGGGGTCGTCGGCACCCCGTCAAAAAACAATATATCCCCATAACCCAACCAACACCCCATACCCGCCCCCTATACCCCCGTACACCCCCTCAAAACCCCCAAACCGCCCCCCAACACCGTCATACCCCCCCCAATACCCCCTATACCAACCCTATACCCTGTCTCTTATACACATCTAGATGTGTATAAGAGACAGCTCTCTGACCCTCTATATCACCCCTAACCCATCCCCAAAAGTTTCTCAGTGGATTTGGGCTGTACTCAGCAAGCGCAGTACAGCCCCCAACTCAGATTTGAAAAACAAATCAGTGGATGACTGTTTTCTGACTGGTCGCCAGAACGCCGACCATTCGGCCCTACTGGTCGGCTGCAAAACGGTCCGCCATCGGGGTCGGCGGTTGGCAGCTATGCAACCCTGGTGCCAGACAAGCGCTACTCCACAACACCACCTCTGAGTCTTGGCTGAAGAATATGAAACCACAGGTCCAGGTAAGCTTCCTGTTCCCCCCAAGACTTCGACCTACATCAGATCTTCCCTCTTCTTTCTGGCTATGGTGCATCAGCACCTTCTACAGGGTACGGTCTCTCTCACTCTAGCTATGGCAGCCCCTCACTCTCTCTGTCTGCCTCCTACGGTCTCTCTCACTCTAGCTATGGCAGCCCCTCACTCTCTCTGTCTTCCTCCTCTGGCACTCACTGTAGCAGTGCACTGTAGCGCATCACTGCAGCTGCACAGTGTAGCATGTGCACTCTAGCCAAGCACTGTACCATGTGCACTGTAGCAGCGTGAGAGAGCATCAATCCATGAGCTGGGGCATACAACTCTTTTATAGTGTTTACTCAGCCTTACAGTGAGACTGCCATGCATGAAACACTCAGACACAAGTCCCGCATCACACCTCACTCACAAATATCCCACGAAGTCCAAAAGAGCCTCAATGGTCAACACAAACTTGGTCGTCTTCTCCGTCTGCAGCAGCAATGGCCGCCGCTCAACTCAGCATACAG